GATTAAGCTGAAAATAAGATGAGATTTCCGGATCCACAAGCCCCAAGTTGAATACTCAAGCTCCTCTTCTTCCTTTCAAGCTTCACAAGTCAACAAAAGCACCAAAATGGCCTTAACACACACAAACGGCTAGGGTTTCGATATGCAGCTTCTAAGAGAGTGTTAGGGACAAAGGAGGCTAAGTTAAGGCGTTTATATAGGGTGTAAACCATCATACTAGGGTTTTATCTAGACAGCACGGACTCGTCGAGTCCGGTCTCTGACTCGCAATGTTCGCTTAAACTAATGCTCTGATACCAACTGTTACATCCCCATTTCACGGCCATAAAAGACCGCTCTTGTTTATGCTTTATAAATAATTAGAGTACATCTTTTAATAAAAATGTTGCAGAATTTGTTCCTAGTAAAATATGATAAATACATTATCTAAACATTTTCGAAGAAAAGTATTTTTATTCATATTAAAACTTTTGGGATGCCATTGTCAATACATAAACATAAGCATAAACAGAACTTACATTCATTATCACTAGTGATTTATATCTCCTTAATCTCTCAATGTAATGTGACTTCATATCAGCACCTGTGATATAAATAAACTAAGTGGTCAGGTTGGGAAACCTGGTGAGTACATAGGGGTTTCAACCCACAATAATATAATTATTATGTTTAATCATCAACCAATTAACCCAATTATCCATCCCCATTATCTTCTTTACTCTTAAGGGTCAACCCTAAGAATCATTTATCCTACATTCCTTCAATCCGAAGTCCATTGCTTCCAGGGTATATACGACAGACACTAAGTCCATAGCTGCCAATGCTCTTTCGTAAAGCACTAATTCCATAGCCGCTAAAGTTCATTCATCGGGTACTAAATCCATAGCTACCAGTGTTTATCTAATAGGTACTAAGTCCATAGCTACCAACTTTTATCTAACAGAAACTAAGTCCATAGCTACCAATGTTTATCTAACAGGTACTTAGTCCATAGATACCAATGTTTATCTAACAGGTACGAAGTCGTTAGCTGCCATCGTTTATCCAACAGGTACGAAGTCCATAGCTACCAATGTTTATCTAACAGGTACTAAGTCCATAACTACCATCATTTATCCAATAGACACTAAGTTCATAGTTGCCGATGTTATTTATTAGGCACTAAGTCTATAGCTGCCAATGTTCACTCATATCATCTTTCATCTCTCATCATTCATCTACCCATGTTTTACCCAACATATTCATAAATAAAAAATACATATACAGTTTAAATTATTTAAAACATGTATAAAATTGTTCATCCATCATAGATAGCAAGTATAGAGGTTATATGCACACATAACACATAATTTATATAAAATACTTCATATCTATGTGTAAGATGAAAGTAACTATGCACTCACAACACGTAATTTATATTAAATAATTAATATCTATGTGTAAGATGAAAGTAACTATGCACTAACAACACATAATTTATATAAAATACTTCATATCTATGTGTAAGATGAACGTAAGTATGCGCTCACTTGTTAAAGTGATGATTCCAAACTCGGGCAGCACTTCACTTTTAACTATTCTATTTTCCTTCGACGAAACCTAGCATTATTATCACTAAGTTTTAGTCTAATCTTTATTACAACTAATTATTTGTCTAGATTCATCATTAACTCAAAGTCTACTTTAATGATCTACTAAGTAAGGAACAACCAGGTAGGATTATATTGGAGGTAGGGTCTATTTGGTATACGAAGTATATTGTTTGGAAATCCCACTTTAAACACCTCACTAAATCACAACCTAGACATCATCCTCGTAAGTAGATCAATCAGTATAACGACTTTGAATCACTGATAAATCTTATTTATAGGTTCATAATAATGATATTATATTTAAATATAAGCTATATTTAAAATAGGGTAGGCGTAGATCACTTATAGCGAGTTTTATTAAAAACCGGGCTTCGCTGGACCAGCCCGTTATCCTCTTCCAGCGAACTGAACAAGCTTACCATCAACAACTGTTATCCTCTTCCAGTGAAGCCCGATTTTTAATAAAACCCGCTGTAAGTGAGCTGCGTCTGCCTTATTTTAAATATAGCTTATATTTAAATAAAATATCATTATTATGAACCTATAAATAAGATTTATCAATGATTCCAAGCCATTATACTGATTGATTTACTTACCAAGATGATGTCTAGGCTGGCTTTAGTGAGGTGTTTAAAGTGAGATTTCCAAACAGTATACTTCGTATACCAAACGGACCCTACCTTCGATATGATCCTACCTGGTTGTTCCTTACTTGATAGATCTTGAAGTAGACTTTGAGTTAATGATGAATCTAGACTATTAATTTGTTGCAATAAATATTAGACTAAAACTTAGTGATAATGATACTAGGTTTCGTCAAAGGAAAAGACAATTTCTAGAAACGAAGCGCTGCCCGAATTTCTAGTCATCACTTTAACATGTGAGTACATAATCCCTTTCATGAACATGATTTCAATACAAATATTAATTAAAGTATTAAATATAAGTTTATGTGTGAGATATTTGCTAATGCCTGGAATACGTGTTAAGAGTATATTTGATAATGTATGATGATTTAGTATACAGAATAAACATAAATTAATTAAGATGAATATCAGGTAGTATCTTCTTATAAGTGCAAGTGAGATATACATGGCAGATGGAACTCTAAAAATTTTCTTTGATCCGTAAGCATGGATTAGATATAGTCGTTCGTCCCCAGTCCGAGAGTATGGAATGGGCATTGTCATTTGTCATTGATCCGAGAACATAGATTAGACATAGCCATTCATACCTGATCTGAGAGTATGGATTAGGTGAAGCCAATCATTTTAGATCTAAGAGAATGGATCGTTTAGTTGTGAGGATTAACGGGGTGGGGGTAAATTGCTTATATCAGGTGAAATTGTATCTTGTGAGTTCTAAAATATATATTATAGCAATGTGGGATTAAAATCCCTATGTACTCTACAGGTTTCCCAACCTGACCCACTCAATTTATTGTATCATAGGTAGCGATATGAAAGATACATTCTGCTGAGAGATTCAAGGATTATTAGGCCACTAGTTTAGTTACTGTAAGGCTTGTAATGTTTCATTATGCTTATGTGTCTGTATTGACGGTGACATACCAATGTTTTAATATAAATAAAATACATTTCTTTGGAAATGCTTTAATAACATCTTTATCATGTTTTCTAGGATCAAATTCTGCAATACTATTTTTCAAAAAGGATACTCTGATATTTAAATAAGCATAAACAAAACGGTCTTTTCTGGCCGTGAAAATGGGGACGTCACACATCGTAGGTATGCATGTTCCTTCTGCCTTATTCTCTTTTAACTTCTTTGATTACTCGGGTTCAACCTCCCTCTCCTCATACTTTTCTGTTTCTCGACCCCATTTTGATTTTTGTTCATAACACCGCACAAATACATACCCATGTTTCCATTTTGAGCATAAATTCGAGAGTCACATTTTCTTGACCTTTATTCTTGATTTCATGGACTTCAATGGGTCTACATTGGTCAAAATCATTAGTTAATGCCTATTGGCATATTTGATTTACTGTTTTGCTTAATCTGTTTTTTGTATATATATACTTGAGTCATTGTTACTTATGTGTTGACTGTTGAACTTGGTAGATTTGTCTTGAAAACTAATAGCTTAAATTCCTTTGATTTGAAGTCCAATATGCCTGAACCTAATTTTCTTGGGTTAATTTAACCGTTTGAAGTTTGAAATACACAGTGCTGAATTAATTGTGATTTATTTGGTTTGTTTCTAGGTCGAGTAATTGAAATGCAAATGCTAAGTACATGTGTGTGTGCTAATGTGCTTAAATTAAGTTTGACTTAGCTGTATTGTACTATTGTGATTATTATAAAGGCTAAAGTTGTGGGTTATTTTCATGTATATCTGTTCAAATGGTTGTTTTTCTTTTGTTTTGTCAAGTAAATCTATTTATATGTTTTTTGAGCACTACAGTCAGTAGACCTTGTGCTGAGCACCGTAAACGACACCTACGACAAGCGCAACATGCTTAGCCGTGACAATGATGTCAAAAGGAAGACCTGACTACAACTCAGCACATCGCATGAGCACCATCTTTACTAACAACTTGCCTTAGAATTAGACGTAGTTGCAAACAAGGACATGTTTGGTTTGTTGGAAGTTACCAAAATTTGGTCAAATGTAATTTAATTCCAATCGACCAAATATCATCTAAACTCCATCATTTGAACAAATTTGTCATTCTTCGGGAAAGCCCAAGGGATCATATTTGTTTTCAAAAAGTAATTGTAAATAAACCCCGAATGATGGGACATGTTTGTTTGTTTGTGTGTGGGTGTGTGCATCAGGCACACATACGCATGTGTCACGTCATTTAAGGTTCAAATAAGATTCCCTTTTCATATTGAAAAAGAAACCACAACAAACTATTATAATGGAAACCATCATTTGTCTAATTTTTACATACCACTTACTTTTAAACAAAATACAATACAATTTGATTCCTATTCTTTTGAATTGCAATTCCTTTGACTAATTCCATTCCTTCCAAAAAGAATTTATATAATCAAATTGCCTAATTGTGATTGTAAATTTATCAAACACTACCACGAATGCAAAAGAAAATGTACGAATTCAAGTTTAAATATATGTATAAGAGAGGCTGGGACAAATAAAACAATGGAAGTTCTTCACTACTTGACACGTGAAACATTAAAATCCAAATACTAAACTTGTAACTTCAAAGGGTCTAAGTTGCCAACACTCGGATAATCACAGTTTTTAAGACTTCATTGCTATATAAAAAGCTCGATTGCAGTGACAAAGTTGGAAGAGCAAATAACATAAGCATAAATGTTACCAGAAAAATATCAAACCAACATGTACCTCTTTCGATGTTGAAACTTTAATTGTCCTTTGTGGTAGGTGTCATTCACTACTACTTTTCATCTGTGAGTGAATACATTTCTTTCTTTACTCAGAATAATCCATCCCAAGGCACTAATTTTTTATAAAACTGAATGGAAACTACACTTAAGCGTTCAAGAATCTGAATATCCACCACCAAAAGCAACTGTAACAGTCAAGGACCCTGGTCGAACCCATTCCCGACATTAAGATTAAGAGAATTTTGGCCACCAGTCCACAAGTAAAAGCTCCGAAGCAAAAAATCTAAGTGTATACTTTAATCATTTGTGTACAATTATAGATAAATAAAATAAGATGTCGTAATAGTATTGCATTTTACTAACAATGAACTATGACATGCTATCGAGCCTCCATTAATGTAACCGTCATCTTGTTTACTGAATAGTCATTCAACTTCCTTTCATCTGAAGTTGACTTCGAAGAACTTCTACCAATAAAGAATGCTGGTCGTTTTGGTATTGGTAATGACATTGTGTCATTGTTAAGCATAGATAAAACGTCTGACATCTCTGGTCTATCCATTGCATTTTCTTGCACACAGAGAAGTGCCACATGGATAGTCCTCAACAGTTGATGTATGACATGAGTATTGGCTAGCGTTGGATCCTCCAGCTCCAGTGCATTCCCTTCTAGCCATAGCTCCCATGCCTAAAACCATTGTAATGTCTTCAATCATTAGATATACTTTAACTTTTCAGGTTAAACGGATTTTTTTTAAATACAATTATAAACATTTAGATTTTAATTAAACTTACATATCCAATTAGGTTGACAGTCTTGTCACGATATGAGAAGCTAGTATTTCTCCTTCCACTCACAATTTCAAGGGTTAGGACTCCAAAGCTGAAGACATCTGACTTCACTGAGAAAGTCCCTTCCATTGCATACTCAGGAGCCATGTAACCACTGTGTAAGGTGTTTAACATAGTCAAGTAATTCAAGAACCAAATATCACTAATACTTGGAAATCATTTATACCAATGTCTACATATCCACAATCCCCTCTTGTTACTTCATTCATGTAGTTTTGAAGCTTAAAAACAATTATGCCACCATGCTATGATGTAAGCTAGCAAGCAGTTTGACAATTTGACAATATCCAACATAGACAAGTGAAAGAGAAAAAAACGTTCTTACTATGTTCCCACCACCCTATTGGTCATTGCTTCAGTCTCATGTTGTTTGAAAATTCTGGCCATACCGAAATCAGAAATCTTGGGGTTCATACTTTCATCTAACAAAACATTACTTGCTTTTAGATCTCTATGAATAACTCGCATTCTTGAGTATTTATGTAGATAAAGCATGCCTTGAGCAATCCCTTCAATGATGTTCCATCGTTTTGTCCAGTCTAGGAGTCCCTTTCTTGTTTCGTCTATTGAAGTGTTTTAGCAAGTCATATGAAACAGTAGTTTAATAAGTTTAAAGCATGACATACATTTAGTTTATATAACTTTTCCTTACCGAAAAGAAAAAAAATCCAAACTTTTGTTGGGCATGTACTCATAGATTAACATTTTTTCTTCTCCATGAACACAACAACCTAAAATCCGAACAAGTTTTGTATGCTGTATTTTGGTAATAAGTACGAGTTCATTCTTGAATTCCACAAGCCCTTGTCCAGATGCTCTTGAAAGTCTTTTAATTGCAATATCCAGTCCATGGCTAAGTTTCCCCTTTTCTCATAAAGACATAATATCTTGTTATGTAAGATTGTAGAGTTTTGAAAACATGACTTATATCAAAGATAAAAGTACCTTATAAACAGGTCCGAAACCACCCTCTCCGAGTTTATTTTCACTTGTGAAGTTATTTGTGCTTGCTAGTATTGAAGGATAGCTGAACACTGTCATTTCACTTATTTTTCTGCCACTGTTATCGAGATTACTTGCATCATTGAAGCTATCTGAAGCCATGAGACCAAGAAAGTATTCGTCATCTCTTCTTTGTCTCTCCTCAGCTTCAATAAAAAATCATGGATTAGAAGATGACTTTGAGGAAAATCGGATTAACATTAACATAAACTGCCATACCTTCTAGTCTAAGATTTTTTCTTCTTAAGATACCACAATAACCCGAAACAAAAGGAAAGTAGAAAAATCCCAGCAACAATAGGTGCCCAAATGCGTGCAGTACTATCTATATGTAGGATTAAAGCAATTGAATAAATAACAAGTAACCCACAAACCATTGAATCAATCGCATCTTGAGACTCTAACACAAACATTTGCGTGTCATATCCTCGTGTGTCTATTATAAGCTTGGTTGATTTGTCTCCAGTATATGTAACACAATCATTTCCATATTCATATTCCTCAAAAGCCAGACAACTGCAATCATTCCAGCACCTCATCATACAATCACTTCTACTTAGGCTTGAATTACCAGCATCCGACCTTCTCATCCTGCTGTCTGTAGGATATTCCCCACTCAGTAAAGTAAAATTCTCATTTTTACTTCTACACTCATTAGCCAAATCAGGAACTTCCAAACACCCAGTACTTGTCTCATACCCATAACAAAACTCATTCTCACTTAAAGGGGTTAAGGACATACTTGTTTCACCATCTAAAAGCATACCATCTGGAGTCAAAATCCACATGGGTCGAACTCCACTGACGACATGGAAACTGAAGTATCTCTCTACATTACTGTATACATAACTAAGGTTATCCATGTATTGGCTAAATGAACTACTCAACATTATGTTCGGAAATGTTTGATTATTTAGATTCCCACTTGTCCAGTAGGTCTTCGAATAATAAATCTCTGAGATGCTTCATCAATGGCTTCCCAGCTCAAAGTAAAAGTACCAGGAGTGATATCATCGTACAACCAAGAAGTTAAGTTCCAGCTCTGTTCTTTTCTAAGGTTTGCCCCGAGTTTCATACCTGGTAGAAGAACATTTGTTGGATGATCAAAACTCTGCCACAGAGTCTGGTTGTCAGTTTCGTTCTTCAGTTGGAAATTACCAGTGTCTTCAAGAGTTGCAGTCAAACTAGACCCAGGAGTAAATTGATTATCGGAGATATTTACAAAGGTTGTATCACCGGTGGCGATGATCAGTTTCCCTGTGGCAGGATTGATCCTGAGGACACTAGAGCGGGAAATGATGGGTGTGGATGGGTTGGCTACCCATACTTTTGTGGATTGATTGGTGTACCAAATTCCTAAATAAGTGTCGTTTGTGTGGGAAAAGTTGAAGAACCCTAATGTGAACATGTTACTGGGGGAAACGAGCTGAGAAGTGCTGTTGAGTTGCTCCCCGACTTTGATGGTTGAAACACCAGTGGCTGGAAAACAATTGATGATTAGATTGGTACATAAAAGTGTGTAGATGATGAGACTACTCATTTTTTAATAATTCAATAGGAATAACGATAAATGAATATGAATTCTATATGATATCCACCACCATCGATTGGATATTTATTATGTTTCTACAGTCAACGAATAAATATTTCTCGTTACTCAACGAATTTAAAGAAGCTCATTGTTTGGAATTAATTGGATACCTTCGGAGTGGCAACTCTTATTTGGATTCATTGTTTGGAATTAATTGGATATTTTCACTGACGTCCTATGTTGACGTTTGTATCTAAGATATTAATTTTCCTCACCCTTTACCATCAATGACAACTATCACAGGTTCATCAACTTTGAATTTTAGGATTTGCAATCCGTGGATGCGGATCCTTAAAGTTAAAGTTAAATCATAACTTAGACTTTGATTGGTTTATTTATCTCCAACTCACTTTCATTTTTCAAATTTTCTATCATTTTTTTTGGTTTCTCTCCAACTTATTCCATTTATTCCTTAATTTTGGGGGAAATAAATAGTATATCACCATATTTGGTGTTATACTATTCATTTCCCCCTAAAATGTAATGAACTTTGAGTTATCAATTTTAGTATCTCTTATTATATATTTATACATTATTAGTTTATTTTTTATTTACTAATTATATTATTTAATACTTATAATATTGTATTATGTATTAAATTATATTAATTAATTATAAATATAAAGTTTATTTTTTGTTTATCAAATTCATATGAAAATTTAAATACATATTGATATTTTAAAATATGATAACGTATTTTACAAAAGTTTATAATTATGTGTTATAAATATAATCTTATTTATTTAAAAATATTGTAATGAAAAAAATATAGATTATATATAATTGTTAAAATCAAATTAGTAGAAGGGGTATAATTGATAATCTATATAAATTGGAAATGAAATATAATAGGAATATATTTTTTAGGGGTAAAAATAGGGTAAAAAATAGTGTAGGATTGGAGATGAAACACTATTAACCCCTTTTTTACTCCATTTTTGGAAGAAAAAATGAGAATCGGTTGGAGATGATATTAGACACTAAATAGCCATTAAAATAAATCCATGGTCAATATTAAAAAAAATAAAATTATAATTATAATATTTTTCCCCTAAATAATTCAAACATCATTTTTTTATTTACAAATGATTTTTCTTAACATTTTGACCATCATTCTTACTTATTTGGATGTTTACTATCTAGGTTTTCTATAAGTACCTCATCCTTTTCCAATTTCATCCCACTTGATTTGGTTTTTATCTTTTATTGTTGTTTTTTTCTAATTTTTTGTTGTTTTTTATTTTTTTAATTTATTATTCTTATTATCATTATTAATTATTATTATTAGTATTATTATTATTATTATTATTATTATTATTATTATTGTTATAAATTTCGCAAAAGGTTTTAACATTCGGACGACATTATAAATTCGAAAGGCTATATAAAATCGGTTTTTAAATATTTCTTATATTTTAATATTAATATTATCATTGTTATCATTATTATAAATTTTGAACAACATTTTATAATTCGGATATTATAATACTAATCATTAGGTACCTTTTATATATATATATATATATATATATATATATATATATATATATATATATATATATATATATATATATATATATAACTCAAAAAATTTAAAAAAATAATGTTAAATCAAATGTCAAAATTTTGATTTAATTAACTTTAGAGGGGGTAAATATAGTTAATGGGGATACTTATAGCACAAGTCTTAATTTTCCTCACCCTTCACAATCAATGACAACTTTCAAGGCACATCCACTTTGAATTTTAGGATGTCTAATCTATGGATGAGGATCCTCTAAAGTTAAATGATAACTTGACTTTGACTAGTTTAGTTAGACACTAAATAGCCATTAGAATAAATCCAAGGTGAATATTAAATAAAATTATAATTATTTTTAATTAATTGATATAATATATTTCCCATAAATAATTCAAACATCTTTTTTTTTATTCACAACTGACTTTTCTAAACATTTTGACCATCATTCTTACTTATTTGGATGTTTACTATCTAAATGAAATAAAACTATAAACAACCAAAATTCTAAAAAAGACATTACTATTTACTATGTAATATATAATTAAACAGAAATTGAGTAATCTAACCCTTTTAAAAAAGTTAGTTAATATGCAATATATAATTAATGGAAAATTGAGCAATCAATCATCGGAAGTGGATAACGGTTCTTCACTGTTATCTTATTCAAATCTCGATAATCAATGCACAACCCGTGCGAACCATCTTTCTTCTTTACTAATAGGATCAGTGCTCCGACGGAGAACTGCTCAGATAATTAAAACCCTTGTCTAGCAGCTTTTGCAGATGCGTAAACAACTCCTGCATCTCCGGTGGTGCCAAACGATACGGTGCATTGGCTATCGAAGTTGCACTGGGTACCAAATGAACCTGAAACTCAACCTGCCTCTTGGGAAGCACTCCTAGCAAATCCTCAGGTAATAATTAGTTCTCGCATTTGTAGATATCTCCTGGCCCTGCTTAACTCCTTCGTGGCCTCATCCCACGTGTCAAAAACATAAGATAAGAACCTAGAACAACCCTGTTGTAGATATCTCCTAACCCTCACAGCTGAACAGAGAGCATAACTTTGCGAAGCTCTCTACCAATAATAATTAGTTCTCCCTCACTTGGGGTTCGAACTGTCATCATCTGTCACTCGCAATTAATCACAACCTCATTGAGACCTAACCAATCAATCTCGATGATAACCTTCAACCCTCTCAAAGGGATCGACACCAAATCAATACAGAACCTCTCGCTAAACATATTCAGGACACACCCACGGAAAACCCTCAAAGCACTCATGGTACGGTCATCCGCAATCTCCACCTCTAGAGGGGAATCCAAAGTCCCTGGAGCATCTCGAAACTTCTTGTTGAGAAAAAGATATACGAAGGATCAGGTAACCCCCGAATCAAACAGAACATGAGCAGACAAACTATTGACCAAAAAGGTCCCTATGCAAGATCATAATAAACAAAAGCATAATCATGGAAAGAAAATAAAACATAATGTTAGAACACGTACTAGTAACTACATTCGGCGTTGCACGGACCTCATCGGTGGTCAGCTGAAAATCCCTGCTCTTCACCAAAGAAACCTCCGCCTTGCCCTAGTGGCCATCAGTAATGCTCAAGATGACTGGCACGGGCGTCACCACTGCTCCCCTAGACGATCTCCCACAATCGACCTTTTTATAGCCATTCTGATTGCAATAAAAGAAAATCAGAGCCCTTTTAGGGCAATACCTACTCACGTGACGTGACTGGCCACAACTGAAACATCGTAAACCTATTGATAAGCAAGTTCCACTGTGTGACTTGCTGCACTTGGTGCAACGTCCCTGACCCTGCTGGCCGATATGGGTTTCAGAGGTCTTAGGTCTCTTAGCTTGACCCACAACTGTCTGAACCTGCTCCGACTTCTGCTTCGTTCGGAGCTCCAACTCAATCTCTTGCTTGCGGTCCTTCTCGACCATATCACCAGGGTCTTGCACGCTGAGAAGCTCACGAATTACCTAATATCATACCTCACCATATCATGATATTTCATCTTCCTCATTTCCTCATTCGCAGTGTACTACAGGGCTAACAATGCTCTCTCCCTAAATTTGGCGGTAATCTCCACCCCAATCTTTGTAGTCTGGCAAAGATCCTGGAACTCTCTTGTCATCCGATGCACTTCTATAGCTGGTGTAAACTCCCTCTGAAACCATTGAACAAAGTCCTCCCATGTCATCACAGCTACTGCTGCCGACCCTACTACTCGGGTAACCTCTTCCTACCAGTCATGCACTCTATCCATGAATAAGCAGGACGTGAATCCTACATTTGCACCCTTATGGAAAAAGCTTGTACGATGAACATTCTCCATGTCAGCGATCCATCGATGGCTAGCGATGGGGTCCGTAACCCCAAAGAACTCAGATGCTCCACACACCTTGAACTCCCGGAATAAGAGAGGTCGAGCCCAAAACTGACCTGCAACAATATTGGCTCGAAAAGACCTGAGTTGCTCCTCCATGAGTTCCAAAATCCCCTCCTTTACGGTACCGAAAATCATGGGGGTAGTTTCAAGAATTCCGCTAGTAACCTCGTTTGCAATAAACTCGCGTAGCTTCTCATCAATCGGTTCTGAGCTAGAGCCAGAACTGGAACCTGATCTAGAGCCAGAACTAGTACCTACCGATCCTAAATGAGTGGCCACCTTCCTCAAACTAAAACACAAGATATATATAATTGGCAAACTCTTGAGTGAAACTCGCAACACATAGCTACCCTTAGAATCCCCAGATCTAACTCGTATCGGGTACAGGTCCTGTGCTTCTAGTAGTATGGGCCGAATACTACATTTCAAACCTATATGTACCTCCCTCAAGGTAAATTCCGATTCCTCTAAACTACCTCACTATAACAAAAAAACAAACCTATGCTACACAACATACATATCCTAGACTCTTCTAGGAGCTCTCAACCCTTACCACTAGCAATACCAACAACCTCAATCAACACCGTTGGTTGCCTTATACATGCATGTTGTATACAAAATAGGATCATATAGACTATAAAATGAAGATTCTACCCTAAGTCCACAACCAAACAAGGAACAAGAAATAAGGAAATGGGGCTAAATCTATCATTCTAGGGTTATACAATCCTAATCATATACAACTTTGAAAGCATACACTTAGTAAGTAACTGAGCCGATATCAATTCCAAGTAATACATGGCATCAAGTTCTACTAAGCTATAAGGCATCAAACATATCAGTTAATTATATCATATGGTTCCTAAAGGTATCCTTAGCTCAGATCTACCATGCAGTCTACATACCAAGCATACTAATCACAATACATAAGTATGGGTAACTTGGGAAAATCTTACTTATGCTCGGCTGATTGCACGCATTGAACTCCCCCTTTTTAAAAAGAATTTTTTCCAAAAATTCAAATTCAAATTCTTTTGAAAAGATTATCATTTCCTCTATTTGAGTTCTAATACACTTGAAAGCGTGCATGAATCCCTCAAACCAAGGCTCTGATACCAACTTGTAACAACCCAAAAACCCGGATAAAATTTTTCATTTTTAAACAAGAGTTACAGTCATTAAATTGTTCCAAAATCCGTTACATAATAACAAT